TCCCCACAACATCTGAAAATCCTCAGCATCAGCACATTGTGCAGGTGATGTGTGTAACGTTCCCATTAGCTTTGATGCCCACAGGTTAGAGCTCTGTGGAAATGGTGAGGGATATTCAGAAATGGTAGAAACTTTATTTGAAAACAATAAATATTTGCTGGATGGGGTACTGTATTTTCATGTTACTTCAACTACAGCAGCTGTTTGTTTACTTCTCTCCTGCTCTCTGTGCTCACATATTGTATTTTCATACAGCTGAATTCCAAATAATACTGTCGTTATCTACGTTTTTCTGCTTCTGTAGTCAGACAACGAAACTAATACAGAATACTACTAAGACTACATTAAGACTACATGTTCATTTTAAGTCACTTACGAGCCATTTCCAATCTCTGCACCGCTAAACTCCTGCTACATGCTGTTCCCGGTGCTATTAATTCTATGGTATTTCCATGTAAAATGATCACCCATGGAGAATGTTAGAAGTGATATAAAGTCATGGTTTCACACACTCAGTCCCGTGCTGTGCGGTCCCATGTTTTGCTCCGCGCTGTCAATCACGGATGCAGAGAGAGTCTTCTTCCTAAACAGGGTGTTGACATCAGCAGCTTAACTGAATTTAAAGCTACAAACACTAAAACAGACCATTTAGAATATGACTAAAACCAGGGCTTATACAGTCATGGTGATGTAAACCGTCTCTGTCATCATTTGAGCTGAAAATAATGAAAGGCACGTTTTGGGGACATGTGAGACTTTCATTAATTTGCTGAAAAGAGGCATAATATGGGACCTTTAAAGACTGGCTCGACATTCTTAGTTTAAAATATTCTTTGCCAAGTTTACCATCACATAGCATCCAAAACAGCTGGATCCTGACATCAGTATAGCAGTAAGATGTTTTTCTCCTAAGAGACCTGCTGGCATCTCCTTCTTTTTTCCCATTTTGACATTTTTGGCTTTAGTACAATGACTATCAATGTGGGAGGGTAAACCATAAACCAGGGTCTTTCATTTATACTCTACATGAACAATAATAGTTCTCATACAGTCTTAAATTAGACTCTCTGAAACTTGCTGATAAGCTGGTGTCTCTCTAAGTCTGGAGCATGTTTTCATCCACCATATGGAGCAGAAAAAGCTGCTGATTGTGATATTACTTGTGACAGCTTGTAGCAGATTTCCACCACAGCATTATTGTGTGTGAAAGGGGCTTTAACCTTTGGAAGCCCAAAACCTGCCAGTGGGTTTGAAAGGCATGTTGTTTTTACAAAATCACCAAAATGACAGCATTTATCAGAGCCAGAAACAGGAAATATGGAGAAAATTGCTGGATTTAAATGTTTGAATTACTCTCCTTTGACATGCTGTCCCATTTTAACAGGATGTCAGCTTAAAATCTGGATATTACATCAAAACCACCTAATTCTACATTGCTCATTTGAACATTTGTTAAAACTTTTTGGCTGAAATGGGTTTACTGTGGGATGTGTATCAAAACAAATGTAAATATTACAATATCCATGGTATGTAGAGTCACCTTTTTAATCTATTCGGGATAACACCTATGGACAGAATGTTGCACATGTTGATTCCAGGTTTTCAGAATTTTACTACTAGTTTGTACTTTGTTTCTGTTTTATTATTTATGCCAGTACAATGGTGTCATACTGCACTGTTGACATTTTAGAGTTCTCTCTACTGTTAGTCATGGTTGTGCTGTTTCCATAGAGCTGCACTGAAAGCCCACAGCGAGTGTCAAAGAATTTGCAAGTGTTTTGAACTTACTATCTGTCTTTTTATTTATGTCGTTAACTCACTTTGATTGCTCCTAGATCCACATCATCACTAACATCACACACTGTATCTGTCGTTTAGGTGAAACCAGTGGAGCTCACTGACTTCTTGCAGGTAAAGAAGAGTGAAGGCTACTGTATTGTTGGAGTGGAGCAAACAGCCAACAGTCACAGCCTCCAAGACTACCAGTTCCCTGAGAAGACCCTGCTACTGCTGGGGTATGGCAGCCTTAAATACTTCTAGTTAGCGAAACCACCTAAACGACTCCAAGACCTGTTTTTCCATCGTTACCACACAACCGGTTACGCACAAATACACACAAGCCTCTGTCTTCCCATGCCCTTGTGACTCTCACATAGATAAATGTGTTAGCTGACGAGGCTATTTAGCGTTATCTCACCAGCTTAGTGCGATTCCCTGTGGGGTTTGCACCTCTCCTCTCCATTGTGTACCTGTCGGGGCATGCTGGGCTATAATTGGCTCTCCCAGAGGAGAAGGAGGAGAGCGAAGGAAATAAATTACAAAAACCAATACAAGCAGTGCAATGACAGCAGAAGAAATACATTAACCTTTGTTTGGTATTGTTCGCAATGCTGCCCTGTGGCTTCCATTAGTTTGGTCACCGTGACATAAAAAATCATCTGTAGCTACTCCGAGATTAGAAGCATGTGCAACAGTAGCTGCATGATTCACTCTCCTCGCTAAACATGTTTTGCAATTTTACGGCCGACCCGGCACAGAGGGAGGAATTAATATTGATCCCTTCTGTGTAGGTGTCCTGTTTTGTTTTACCTCGCTCAGTCACAGAGGTGTGAGCAGCGCTGTTGGCTTAAACACCCCAAGTGTGAGTTCAATCTTGAGTGCTTTCACAGCTGTGCTCTCCTCAGCCCAGCATGGCCCAGCTCTAATTTCTCATCAGGTCGCTTTTATCTCACCCACTTGCACTCAAGATAAATGTAGCTCATCAAATCACGCTTTTTTTTTAACTGTGTGGCATCCTCTGTAGAGCTTGAACGCCAAACTCATTACCTCTTTATGTTTGCTTTGCATGTCCCATATTGCTGGAGCTCAGTATATACTCAGTTGATTACAGTTTGAATTGCTCTTGGACTTGCACTCATGTGTCATTTGTATTAAGAGCTTATTGCTCATAATTGTGAGGACTTGAGATTACATAAAAGACTAAGTTGGCCGCTTACGGTAAGGGCTCTTAAATGTAATCACATGGAAGCCAAATAAGAGATCCAGACATCCGGTTACAACAAATGTTTAGTGTATATAACACATGTTGGTGTCAGATTGAGCTGCAGCTGGTCGGATGCTATACAGTATATCCATTATCCATCCATTATCTATACACCGCTTAATCTTCACTAGGGTCGCGGGGGGGCTGGAGCCTATCCCAGCTGACTTAGGGCGACTGGACAGGTCACCAGTCTATCACAGGGCCACACTTAGAGACAGACAACCAAGCAACTCACATTCACACCTATGGACAATTTAGAATCACCAATCAACCTCAACGTGTTTTTGGACCTTGTGGGAGGAAGGCGGAGAACCCGGAGAGAACCCACACTGGAGAACATGCAAACTCCACGCAGAAAGATCCCAGGTGTCCTCACTGGGATGCGATCCGGCGACCTTCTAACTGCGAGGCAACAGTGCTAACCACCGAGTCACCTTGTAGCCCCAGTATATGAGATATTAATGGGATTTTATTTTTGACATGGTGAAGTGCAGGTCCTGCAGGTGGTCTGGGAAGTTGTGTGATTTCATTTATAACACACAGTCACATATCCTATATAGTATATAGCCTTTTTTTCCCCAGAGTTAGTCTGGATTTGTGTAAATATTTTTGTGCATTCTCTGTTGGTCTAAATTCCCTTTGGGATGCTTTTTCATCCAGAAAAACACGAATAAAATAATAAATATATACATGTTTGGGGTAAACATTGAGTCTTTCCAATTGAAGGCATACAGTATTTTGGTAAATATAATTTTTGCCAAGAGTTGGATGTAAAAATGTGTACAGCTTTGTGCACAGCGGGCTTCCTCAGTATGGCACAAAAGACTGGAAACAGGGGAAACAGCTAGCATGACACTTGTAATTGTCATACATCATACAGACATTAGACAAGAAAGTACACAAGTTTATTCCTTTCAGTGGTAGACGTTGATTTGTACTATACGTTACAATATATTGTTTTCCTCTTTCCCTTTTACAGCAACGAGCGGGAAGGGATTCCAGCCAACTTACTCCAGATGTTGGATGTGTGTGTGGAGATCCCTCAGCAGGGTGTGATCCGCTCTCTCAACGTGCATGTGAGTGCTGCCCTGTTGATTTGGGAATACACTCGGCAACATCTCACCTCAGCTGAAATCGACTCAAAATGCAAGTGAAGACGAAACCAGCGATGCATCCTGACGTGACACCAGACCACCAGATGCTGAAGCTAGTTGCGTCCTTCTTGTAGCACGTCAGGGGAGACTTTAAATGAAAATGTACACGTCAACTTTCACTGACTTTCGGTCTCTTATCCTTTTCAGGTTTCATTGTGGTCAGCAGTCATCAGTACTGCTCCTGTGCCTTAATGAGAGCCATGAATAAAGCTCAGTTCTGATTATTACATCTAAATTCTCCAGTCGGCATGCTGTTACATTAATGGAAGGAGTGCTGACGGAGCAGCAGCATAAATGGAAATTTTCCCCCTTTGAGGAGAAACTGTTTTGTTTATGTGAGCCATTAGTTTTTGCCTTGGAGCATCAGGACTGGGTTATGATGTTCACACTCAATGGATTCTGATACATCCCTCAATACTGCAGTTGTTTTTAGTTTGATTTTCAGTATTCATAATGTTTTTATTGCGATTTGTGATATAAAGATGTCATGTAAAAGAATATATTGAAGTAAATAAAATAATCTTTTCATATTGGCTTGTATTTGTTTACCTTAATGTTCTTTTTATTATTGAATTAAGTACAAGCAGACAGCATTGAAAAACGAAGCACTGAAAGGGTTAAATCAGGTACTGTAGGCGTTCATCTATCCTCCTCCCTCCTCTTAAAAGAAGCTGGTTCACCTGGAGACCGTCCAGGCAGAATGGGAGCAGATGGACTACATGTGATGACAGTAATTTCTTTTTCCATTTAGTCAAGCTTGTATGTGACTCATCATGTGAGGGTAGCAGCTAATTCAGGGTGTTATGGACAATCTGGATGTCTCCTGGTCGGAGCCCAGGTTGCTTCTCCAGGCAGCAGCAGCAGTGCTCAACGTGAGCCGGACTAAGGACACAGAGCTTGGGATGTCCAAGAGGACTCAGCTGGTCCTGGAGATTCTCATGGTGGTGATGTGTTTGGGTGCTGTGACAGGTACAGACTGACCTCATTTATTTATTTAAAAAAATATATATCAAGAAAACTTAAATTGTCCTGAAAGTTTTCGATGAGAATCCTACTTTTGAGCAAAAGCAGATAAATTCTATGATGTTTCTGCCTCTCAGTAATGATTTCACATAGTAATGCACTTGATTTATAAAAGTGCACTAATAGAAAAATCTTGATATCTTGCATCTTTTCAAATACATTTTAAGTGTAAGTCAGCCTGACATACTTCTAGTAGAGTTTTGATATTTACTAAGGTGTGCTCAGTAGCTGTTAATAAGAACAAATATGCCCGTCTACAATTTCCTGAACTCACTAATTAAATCACAGGATATCAGTGTGGACTTTTGGCTCTGTTGCTGGGTTCCACATAGATGTTTGTGTGTTCTAGAGTTCAGACAATCTGACCTTTTTGTCATTTTTTTTTCGATGTGTTGTTGGTTCTCGCTCTCTGTGCAGGTAATATTCTTGTCATTGTTATTGTGGCTGCAACCAAGACTTTCCACTCAGTGACATCAGTGCTCATCATGAACCTGGCCATCAGCGACCTCCTGGTGGGCATCGGAGTCATGCCTTTTGTTGCTCTGTCCATCATGAACCGTGGATGGGTGGAATGTAATGTAGGTCACCTCTGTCGAATAGTGTAAAAATGTTTTCCATTTGACCTAAAGCTGACCTGTTGTGCTGCTACATCTGTTTTCCTCAGATGCATTGAGTGTGCATGTGGTTCTGTCTCTCTCCTGTCTGATAGGACCTCTGCTTGTACGTGGGTTACACCTCCTCTGTGTACTGTACAGCCTCTGTACTGACTCTAGCTGCTATTGCCCTTGACCGCTACCACTCCATCATAGACTGTCTGCGCTACAGCTCCCGCTGCACCCTGTGGAGGATCTGTGCTGTGGTGCTGTGGATCTGGCTGCAGGCCTTGGCCACCAGCAGCCCTCCACTGTTGGGCTGGAGCTCCGTCAGCTATGTGGTTCCAATGTATAGCTGTGCAGTTAACTGGGCCAGCAGTCCCAGCTACACCGCTTTCATGGCTGCACTCTGCTACGTCATACCTGCAGTGGTCATCCTCTTCTGCTATGTGAACATTGTGAAGGTGGCCCGCAGCCATGCCAGGAGGATTCATACATTGGAGGACTCTGTCCAGCGCAGCAGGAACCTCAGCTCTGCCTTTCCTCCTGGTGATTCATCTCACCAGCACTGTGAGAGCCAACACAGCCCCTCCACACTGATCTATCACGTAAGTGGACAGTTTGTTTCTCAAGTCACGACAGAGGAGGGAAATTACATCAGCCCTGCTCTTACCCAAGCTACCACAGAGCAGAACAACACTGCATCCAGACGTTTTTTCTCCTTTCTGGCTCAGAACACCTCCCAGCCATCTCTGCAGAACTCCCAGCAGCACAACCACGGTGTGGTGCGTCTCTTCCTGGTCATCTCAGCCTTCTTCCTCTGCTGGACACCTTACATAGGCGTAGCCCTGATTCAGGCCACAGAAACTGCTATTTCAGGCCAATCCAACCTTGTCCCCCCCTCTGCTGTTACCTTTTCTTACTGGCTGGTGTTGCTGAACTCTGATATCAATCCTTTACTGTACGCTCTGCTTAGCAAGCGTTTCCAGAACGCTCTGCAGGGACTCAGGCAAAAAATAAGAGCTCGTCTGGGGAGAGTGGTGGGCAGGGCTGGGGAGGTCAGAGCGGAGGGGGATGACGGCAGGAGCAGCGATCCCTGCTCTCTGACCAACACCCATCCCAGTCCGCCCACCAGCTCAGAGAGTGTGACCAGCGACAGCTCAAAGTATTCCTCCTCCATTTTTACTGTCAGCACTGATTTCAAACATCATTCGGAGGAACATCTATGCAAAGTGTGTCATCATGAAAATACCTCCCCATCCTCTGTGTGGCAAGATGCTGCAGGTGACAGAGCAGACTACCTGCAGGTCCCCTCTCGACCACAAGAGAGCAGCAGACTTCCTTTCTCTGCTCTGACCGATGAGCGGCAGGCTACTTTTTTCTACGGCCAGATTACAGTTAGAGTGGAGCACGATATCTGTTAGTCTGATTTCTGCAGATCGTGTAGTTGGAAATTGCTCAGCTGTGGCATCAGACTAGGACTGCAAGTAACAATTATTTATATTTATATGTTTTATACATGTATTTTCGTAATGAAATCATTGATTGTTTGGTCCATAAAATGTCAAAAAAAGAGAAAAAAGAAAAAAGTACTCCCAGTTTGCATATTGATTTTGCTTGTTTTGTCTGACCAGTAGTCCAAACCTTAAATACAAATTTTATAATTGTCATAGAAGAACAGCAAAAATTCAGAAGCTGAAATCAGTAATTTATCAGCATTTAAAAAAATAAAATAAAATAAATAAATCCTCTCAGCATTTAATCAGTTATGAAAATAGTTCACCGCCTATTTAATCAGACTTTGAGATGTAAATTAGACATGTCAAACTTTCACAGCACCACAAAATTGCTTGTCACAATAATTAGTGCTGCAAACCCTGCACGGCTCCGGTACCTTATCTGACAGGTTAGGCAGGTGGAGGTACAACAAAACAAGTCTTGTTTGATATTACATAGCACAGACAATCATGAAAGAAGGTTCTGCATGTTCTGGTACAACAACATAGTTATTTTGTTGTTTGAGCATGTGCCTCTTCCTTTCCTATGGTTTAAGAATTATTTATTAATATGATTGAATCTGAAGATGAAGTGTCTTGTTTTTATCATGGTTGTCTGCCCATATAGCATCAAGAAAGACTTCCTGGATCTGGTGTTATTTGCTTGACACAATCATTTGGGATTACATAAGTGGCTCATTTCACATCAGATTGATTTGCGGCAATGATTAGGGGTTGCACAAGTGCAGTTGATCTGCAAACTATTTTCCAAAATAATGACGATGATGATGATGATATAACCAAATGATTTATCACTTGGTTACATCATCACAATTTACCAGAACTGAACCTGAGACATTCATGCCTTCTGTTGTTCAGTCCACTCTCAAAAAACATTTAATTTACTACCTCATACAGCAAAGAAGGGCTGCATATCTTCACATATTAGAAACTATAACCAGAAAAACAACAAGCATTTCCTTGAAATATGACTTAAATGCTTGACTGATGGATTGCAAATGAATTTTCCGCTGCTCGACTAATTCATTCATCGACTAAGACAAGAACGCTGAGGAAGAACAAACCTGGACAAGGAAGTGTATTGAAAAGAAATCTTTTTTTTTCTCTTTTTTTTATATAGTACATGTGATTACACTTGAAGACATCCGACAGTTGATCTAATAAACCCATCATTTATTCACACTCTAAATATTTCTTCCTCAAATGTGATAATCATATGTTGCATCTCAGTGTAAAAATCATCATTCCTTACAAAGGTTTACATTTATGTCTAGCAATAATTCCAGAGGAATACAATATTATTATTTATTGTCATAGAGAATGACAATGGGAAACAGTGCTAATGTACTCTATTGCAAAACAAAGAAAAGGCAGTGAAGTGGACTTTATCAGCTGTATCTGCTCATACAGTATGTGCATGCTCGTTCTGTAGACGTCACCCACTGTCCCCGCGAGGTTAGTCAGCAACCAAATGCAAAAAAATATAAAAAGAGTCCTGTGCGATGCATCAAGAGTTTGTTCCAAAAAAAATCAAAATGCAACTCATTCAGATGAGTACAAGAAGGATAGTATTAAAGAGTCTCTCTGCAGCAGTCTGTGGTGGCACTGTAAAAAACAGATAGCATGTATCGAGCATGTGTGGTCGAGTGATGTTCATACATTCGCAACAAGGCAGAGTTTACACCATCGCTTAACCAGGCGTGTGCCTCGGTTGCTCTCGGGTTCATCTTGGTTGTCAACTTGCCTCAGAAATGTGATAAATGAAAACAGATACAGTAAGACTTTTCTATTTCTTTTTTTCTTTTTGTGTTGCTAAAGAGAAGAGTTGGAGAAATGTGAGCCATTCTCTTGTGTCGCTTTTCCTCAAGCCACAGTAAAGACGGTTTTCTATCCGTCTGTTATTTTCACCAGAAATAAAAAAAGACATTGATCTGGATTTCCACGGATTGGTTTGTGTGCATATGAATTTTGAAATGTGGTATTAATACAAAGGGGAGGCTCAGTGTTAGCTGTGGTTTAAAGTAATTAAAGGGGTAGTTTCAGGTCTTCAATAAGCCTGTCGATCTTATTATGAACTGCTTCGAGCCCATCCAAAGTTACCTGAAGCATTAGATTATTCGAATGATAATGCATAAATACATGTGTTACCTATATAGCCTGGTTAATAAAATGTTAATATTGTTTTCTACTAATGTTTTGGTGGGGCAAGTGCTTCATGGATGGACTGCTGACACTCGCGCCTTTCGACAAATAAACCCCATGCATTGAAATCTAATGCAATAGAGACACCGGAATAGACATTTCGTGACTAAACTGTGGGCCTGAGCAATAGGCGAGCATTGACAGAGTGGGAGTTTAGCCTCAGGAACGCGCATAACCACGGGGAGCCAATCAGTGTGGTTAAAAAGAAACCTGACCTCATCTCTCAGGATGAACAGAGAGAGGCATTGTGTGAAAGCTTCTTCAGCTCAGATTGATCCTCAGACGTCCAGACAGGTCCCCTTCACACCAGATGAGCCCATCGGGTTCCGCAGCTCCGGGACATCAAAGGTGTGAAACATAGCTATGTACAGTGCACAAAAGGCAGGTTTTTTTGTCATTAAGTTTACACCTGAGGGACGCCACCATGGGCCTTCCCTTTTGTTTTCAGGCATTCAGCATTTTAGGCATTCTTCTTTGGATCTTAAAGGTGTGTAGATGTGTGTATGTTAAAGCCAGCTGGTCTACACGGTGTTAGGCCTGCCTTGAAAAACGTCTGTTCTTAGCTGTTAGTTTTTTTTTCTCATAATTGAAAAATATCAGGCAAGTTGGCAAGTCTTCCCAGGCGCAAGGATGTAATGAATCAATGGAATGACTAAGAGGTACAGCAAAAAAATTTTATGCGCAATCAGTTCTACCTGATCATTTTTGGGGTAAAAAGGATCACAATTGATATGAGTCCATGCACCACCAACTTCAGAGTGTATTGGACGGCGAATGGATGATACACAATCTGTGCCTCTTGCATCTTCTCCGCTTGGTCGAAATGTTATTGATCAAAGGACAGTCCAAAATAGCCTTTTTTGTTCTTTTTTGCTGTTGTTGTTTTTCTTTTTTTTTCTTCACCCACGGTTGCCGCGCGAAACACAAGGCAGGGAACCAGGCGGATCAAATGTGTTTCAGTGTCTCCCTTTGTGTTTGTATGGTGATATTTCATGAAGTCAATGTGCAAATGTGGACATGGAGGTCCTGCCTCTTCCTCTCCAGTTGAGCCCTGTGGTGGCGCCTGCCTCTCCGCTGCCCTCTGCAGGCTCATCGCGTTTGCGCAGCTTGGTGCTGAGCTGGATGATGCACTGATCCCAGTCCTCCGGTAACAGCAGCATGAGGAAACCCAGGCAAATGATGAACACAGCGATGAGGCGCACCGTGTTAAAGTGGATTTCGCACGTGTAGAGGTCCACCACTGCAAGTACATATTAACAGGTACATATTAATAAGAGCATATGAACTGTACTATTATTAACAGTCAAGAAATAATCAGTATGTCAAGCGGCTTGTAAGTCATAAATTATGAGGTTGTTTCCATCCAATAAAATAAAAAAATCATACACGGAGAGGGAAAATTACATTTTATCCTTTATTAAATATAGATGATAGCTTTTGGGGCATTTCAGTTTTAATCAAATATTAAATGGTGACCACATCTAAGAAGCTAGGACTGGGAGAAAAGCCAAGAGACTTACTGGCATTTACAGGAACACTTAGGACAATGCCAAGGGAAATTAATGTTGGGTATGTTATCGCAATGCCGAAGTTCACCAGGATGTTGAAAGCTGTGGGAAGAAAGGCAGAATCAGAGCAGCAGCAGACCACACGAGGACACGGTCAAACCACAAAACTTGCGCAATATCGCTTCGTGTGTCAATTTCATATACCGAAAAGCAGGGCTGCGACCCCGCAGAGGTAGGCCCAGGGGATGTCTCCAGGCGAGCCAATGTACTCCACGTGTGTAAAATACAGGATGACCGGCACAAAGCTGATGAAAACAAAGTTGGCGCTTCCAACGATGCTCAGGAAGAGTGCAGCCTCTCCAAATTTGGCACTGCCCAGGACCATCTTAAAGAGCACCTGAGGATAAACAAGAAGGAAAGTGATGAATGCACAAAATCAGCCCCCTTAAGGAGCCCCGGTATATCACAGAGGCTTCACGTGCCAAGCACCTGCCATGCTCTGGCTCAGGGCCGCTGCTGTCTGTTTATCACATTAGGAAACACAGACAGCAGGGCAGAGGCGATCAGACCCTGTCAAAATATAGATATCTGTCCTCTTGTTCGGGGTATCGCCACCTGAGGCGAGCAACCAAACATACACACTTCTGTCAGCTGAGTCTTACATTTCATAATCTCCTCCTGTCGTCTGCCACCTGGTTACATAACTAGAAGGGAGCTAGTCCAGGATTTCTTATGTAAGACAAGACAATTCATACATATGTTTAGCTATTTTTAATTTTCTTTGTTCCACTGCAAATAAAGCATCACCACGGGGGAAGAACAGACGCCTCGTAAGAACGCCCTTTATGTTGACGAAATGCAAATACCTTGTAGAGCGCTGACATCGAAGCGGAGGCCACGACCAAAGCGATGCCGATGACCGAGTGGCTGTGAAATCCATCAGCGTAAGTCATCATTACGATGCCTGCTATGGCCAAGATAGCAGCTACTATCTGTAAAGAGAGAGAGAGAGAGAGAGAAGATCAGCGAGGAGACATGCTGCTCACAGTTTGGTGATGAAGACGCCTGATCCTTTACCGCTGCGTAGGGACACAGCAGGCACACATGGTCTCCACTTGCAGAAACCACAAGCCTCACAGAACTCGGCTTGTAATGGCATAATAATTGCCTGAGTTTTATTTTATAGTCAGCAGGCAGCTCATTTGGTATTTACATTTTCTCACATGCAGGCAAACACAGGCACACTTCAGAGGAATTCTGCTGTCAGATCCACAGTGTGAGGGCTTCCAGTACAGGACAGGCAGCTTCTACAGTGTTGGCTTGATTGTCTGACATTGATTTCCGTTACACTGCCATCATGTTTACAAACCAAACCACCCCCCTTCCCTCTCGATCCAGTAGCCCCGACTTATTACTCCCGCTCCCTGCCTCTGTCACAGCTTCGGGATGGCACCAAACCATCTTTTCCTGCTCTCGGTCAGCCTTTATGCACCAAAACCAAGTTTTTCATTTACTGCAATGAAAGCAGCAGTCACATGTGTTCATACTGTAACATGCAAGGTTGTTTGACTGCGATGGAGACGTGGCGCAGTCCAGCTGAGTGGATTAGCTCTACATTAAGGAGGTGTCAGGAAGACAAATGAGCCGTGTGTTTTTGCTCGGCCAAAGCCCTTGGGCATCTTTGGTTATAATGGCTCTTTCTGCACTGCGGGCTGCCTGTCAGTCACAGCTGCACCTTTCATTTTCAAAAAAAAAGCGTCTGTTCACTTACAACGCGAGATGTTTCAGCACAATGTGGGTGTCGGAGGCAGGAAGGGTGGTGACCTCGCTTGATCTTGTGCAGTGTGTTCAGGATGCACCCGCATACTGGGAGGCCTACGCGATCACAGTTCCATTACGGCAGTATGTAAAGTTGGATTATGTTGCATTTTCAACCCATAAACCCAAGTCGCTCTTCAACCAGAAGGTTCTACAGTTTATTTTATTTTAGGCTATAAACTGAGCAGTCCGTCCTGACTCTGCCGCTGCCAATAGAACAGTCATCTCTTTATGCACACAATATCACTAAAACAACCCACATCCCTGTTTAACAAGGATGATTTAGCATCCTCCCATCTCTCTCTCTCCCTCTCTCTCCCCTCCTTCACTTTCATGACAAACTCATCCAAGATCCCCTGCATTGCTGCAGACATCCAAACACTGCAATCCCCACCACCAAGCAGAGAGAGAGAGAGAGAGAAAGAGAGGGAGAGAGAGAGAAGCAGGATTATTACAGTATTTGTCTCATACTGAGGCTTTTCATCACAAATAATGGGGTGGGGAGTAGGGGCATGCACAAGGGACAGATAGGATGGTTGTAAGTGTGTGGAAGAAAAGAGGGGGAAATCCATTGTGCCGAGTGCAGGACAGCAGCAGATATGAAAGCAGCTGATGCGTCCAGTGGGAGGAGAGAGGGAAGTTACCTCAATTCATAAAGGTAAACCCTTCTGCTTCTCTCTCCCTGTCTGCACAAAAAGTGCAGGGAAGCACAAACAAACCAGGATCCGCGTTTGAATGACAATCAGATCATTGGTGGGTAATCAGGCTGTCAGACATATAACCTGCTGTCTGCTCAGCCGTGCTCAGCTCACATGTTTGACTGTAAATCCAGTTAGAAGAACCCATCATAAATTATTTGCATTCCTTTGGAGGTTATATACACATTTTTTTTTTTGTCATCCTGAGTCAACTCCTGCACAACGGAGCTGACACATAATAATCACTCCAGGACAAACACTTGACTATTAGAGGAAATATAGTAGATTTCTTTCTCCTTAAGAAACCAGTGAGGGGCACAATAAAAGCTTAATTGCAACTGAAGGTAATTGTGTTATCTAATGTTATCCATTATAAAATCTTCACAACAAATCCCTGGATGTTTGGTAGCATGACATGTTAGTGAGTCCGTATTATCAGATAATAAACCAATTTTATCTTTATCTCCATCGACTCCGAGGTCAGGACCCCTCCACTCCACGGAGTCACAGCATAAACCCAAAGGCGCCAGGAGATGACTCACAGGACAGAAAGGAAGAAAGAATATAATTCTGCTACACAAAATTATATAATTTCCTGACTTTTCCCTAATCTTGTGAAAAACAGAATACTTTCGCCTCTTTAGGGCTCTGAACATGATCAGACTGATTCAATCTGGGACGAAAAAAAACATCACTATTTGGTAAAACTACACATAAATCAGATAAATGTGACAACTTTCCCCCCCTCCCCAATATTGGTTATGCTGTAATTGTAATTAAACTCAGCCAGAAACTGTACCAAAGGGCATGCAAACATTCAATCAAAAGATATTATCTCGTTATACAGTAGAGTCCAGAAACAAATTTCAAATTACTTTGATAATATGTGAACATACACAAGCTGATGTCACAGCACACGAAGTTAAGTGTTGCAAAAAGTTGCTAACAGGAATTTTATATATTATTGTTACTATATATGACATTATATATACAAATCATAGTCATTTCTTTGTTTGTTTAGTAATTATTATATTTCTCATTTACAGATAAAACTTACAAGGCTAGAGGGCATAAAAAAAGAAAATCATTGTTTTGCTCTCCACTTTTCTTTCTGTGGCTTGTGCTTGAGTTTATCTAACAACGCAGCAATAATGTTTGTCTTGGAAGCAGAAAAACCATGCAGATGTACTCACCCTGACCCCCATAAAGCGGTCTCTGAGTACAATCCAAGACAGCAGGAAGACGAAGGCCTTGTTACAACAGAACAGCGCTGACACGTCTGTTGTGTTGATCTTCCTGAGGGCCTGCAGGTACAGGTAGTTGGTGAGGA